TATATATATATGTATATATATTATATATATATATATATATTTTATATATTTATATAAATTTATATATTGTATACATTTATATTTATGTATGTTTGTATATATATATATATCTTGACATACACACACACATATATATATATATATATATATATAATCATATTCTTTTTTGTCACTCTCGCTTCTCATGTAGAATAGCTGTGGACGATTTTTGCTCTACATGCTCATTGCAGAGAAGAAAAAGAATGTGAGAAGGCTCTAGCTGAGAGTAATATTGTCATTGTGGCACTGGGTGGAAACATGCGCGCTCCGGCCGATCAGAAGTCTATCTGCAGAACGGCGCAGGTATTTGTACACTCGCTGCCTTATTTAGTGTATTATGTGTTTGTTTTGGAATATTAAATGGCTTCAATCCCGTGTTTGTTCTATCGTATAGTAGAAATGTATTAGACGATGGTTTCATTGGTATCTCAAGTGATAGAGAATTCGAAGCGCATCAACCTGACACGCTCATCTCAACCGTTTTAACTGCTCAGCCGGTTATCAACAAAGCTGTCAATGCCGCATGTGCCGATGCTCGGGTGATTGCAGTGAGTTCTTTAGGCACAGGCGATTCATACCAGCATATCAATTGGATGACGCGCAAGTTCGTGGACTGGGTGCTGTATGAACAGATAGCGCATAAAGAGGTTCAGGAGGCCTCCATCAAAGACACTGTAGGTTGCACTTCCTAAATTAGTGTGCGTATATCAAGCTAGTATTTACTGTACTGTAATCCACGTTTGTATTGTCGAGATTGTATTTGGTTCTTCAATGCAGTAGCATCAATGGATTGACGCCCTACTTCTTGAGTCGGGTGGTTCGTGCGTGTATGCGCAGATAACGCATTTCGAGGGTCAGGAGAAATGATCAAACACTTTGTGTTGTGTATTTTCGCATATTCAGTGCTTATATAGATCTTAGGTTATTGTGCAGAAGTTTGAATCGGAGCCATCTTGAATAGTATCAATTCTAGACAAACGGATCATGAGCAGTGCTTGTCCTATGATATATCACCATCATACATAACCCCCGTTCTTTAGTCTCATCTCCGTAACAATGCACAGAAAAGTTCTGTAGCAGAGCTATAGTGATGGCTAGATCTATTTATCACGGGGCTTATAGAGTATGTCTAGTCATCTAATGTAGCTATGCGTGTAGCACATCTATTTCAGTGGGATAGCTAGGTATGCCCGTTAGGGACATATTTTGCAATCAGATTTTCAGTGAGCAATTTAGCCACCTAATTTTCGATGCGAAATAGCTGTCCCGGATGTTCCTGCGCACTCGTGACAATAAAAGTTTTTCCAAACATATACTTGTGACCCATACCAATTTATGTATCGACACAAAAATAGAATAGCAAATCATTGTATACACCGTCAATGCAATGCATCCGTACGCATATACTTTCCATTGTATGTGCGTGCCTTGTTTAATTTTCGCCATCTGTCAACCGGTAAGCTCATCCCTTCGAACACCGTATTCACCGTTCTTCTAAATTTATTGCACTACACACTTTCTCTGCCATGCTCGCATGCACCATGCTCTCGGTTCCCTATTGGTACACAGATCAGAACCTGGACGATTGTGCGTCCTGGCGGTCTAACTGACGGTGCGTCTATTGGCAAATGGGAAGCCAGCCGAACCGTGTCAGGAGGTCGGATATCACGTGCGGACGTTGCAAAGTTTATCATACAAGAGTGTTTAACAGGCGATAAATGGCAGAATAGGGCTGTATCGATTGTTTCTAAATGAATAGTATCTCACAAGAAGTTCAGATAGCATACAATGAATAGTTAACAAGTAATAAATTTAATATACGAAATTGAATATATTTACTCTGACGTTGAATCTACAGGGACTGCCAGCGGCCCCTCATCATGTGTAAATCAGTATCGTTAGAATAGCGTATGAGTAGAGATCTTTTACTTCTATCACCATTGGCGAGCGGGCAATAAACAAACTGAAAGAAATGTGTGGTAGAGGGATATATCCGTTGAATCATGCTATATTCGTTGTGCCAGAATTGATCTCCAACACATATATAGCTATTTTGCGAGGTATCAAATTTAATATGTTTACTACACTCGTTAATTCCAATATTTGTTAAAAAGATATTTGCTGATATATACTTCGCGTATGGATGAGTTTTCCCTCAATCGTGTAAGACATATTGACGGATACATATTTAGTCATTGCTTCCGTGTTTCGTTAATATTTGAACCGATCTCTAGCGAGTTGATTCCATGTCACGTGATGACTCTGAGGCGACTTGATCTTATTTTGTTACCTAATGTGTTGTCCAAGACCATACTGATCCTTGTGATGACAGTTTAAAATATTGATCCCTGTGATGTAGTCCCTACAAAACAAAAATACATATATATATATATATATATATATATATATATATATATATATATATATTATGTGCATCGTTTGCTTGCCAACACCACACATCATAGTAATGATCTCGTTCATGATGCATAGCCCTAGTCTAAGAAGCCATTGACCAGCTTGTTTGGTTTCCGATTGACAAAATCTTGCAACTATGGCCACTTAAGCAATCACGTACCTCGTACAGACACTTTGGCACCCACTTCGTACGCTTCTTAGGTGGTTAGAAGTCACCGCTTCAGTCTTACTGGCCTCGCTAAAGCTGACACATTATAGTAAACCACAAGATTGTAAAGAAAAAAGAGAAAGAAACATACATACGTGTCGTAAAGGCACACGAAGTAATAAACACAAGGGTACATATATCAATATTTTATCAAGCTGGTGAAATAAACTCAGTGTAAAATATTTATAAAAATATGTGAAACTGGATTTTAAACTTAACTTTGACAAACTGACTCCTGAGTGTCTCACAAGAGTAATGCTGCATACACTCTATTAGGACTTGAGGTCTTTTGCAATCTGCAATTCTGCATACTGCATACTGCATACATACTGCAGACTGAGAGTGATGCTCAAACTCATACTTTATCTTCCTCAATCCTCAGACCTCAATTCCTCATACATAGTTATTATAGTTTGTCATTAACTCATTATGTACTCATTTTCATTTTGTCTATTGATGTATTGTTTTTTTTAATAAAAAAATAGATATGGTGTATCATAAAAAACCCCCCATCATCATTGACCTGATGACTGATGAGTGATGATAGTGATGACACCTAACCTCAAACCGTTTTCGGCTAAAACTTTTACAAATCGAATAAATATACGGTATAAGCTTAGGCCTTAGGATGACACTGATGAGTGACGAGCGATGAGTTTTCAGTTATGAGTTATGACTTGACCCGTCGGCCTCTGGCCTCCGAAAGACTGTCAGTGTCTGGGAAAACAGTAAATATTTAAATAAAATAAAAACAAACTAAATATGTATGTATTTTTTAATCAAAAAATTGTATGTAAAACACTTCTCCCACTCAGATCATATAAAAAATATATAAAATGGAGGCTGGACCGCTGGAGGGCAAAAGTTGAATTGAGAAACCCTCGGATTCGGAAGGCTTCAAATTTCGAAATCTCAATTCCCGAAATCCGGAATCCCCGCCTGACTTCCCTACTCCCCAGGAGTCCAAGCACTCCCGAGTCGGAAACGAGTCGGAAATAACGCTTTCAAATCGATACCGTATACGCTACATAGCGTAGAACCGAGAACGTGAATACTATCATAGTTTTGTTTTAAACAAAAAACAAAAGTTTTAGGGTTTAGGGTTTTGAGTAACTTTCAAAAAAAAAAATCTGGGTTGGTCGACTTGGTACTTATACGACAACGACGAACACCATAAAAAATGTCGCGACAACATGTACGGCATGTCGTTTAGCTATATTTGTCGTTCGCCTAAATGTCGGCGTCGTTTACCAACCGTTTAAAATGGGTTGTCAATACTTATTGCTAAAACTTAGACTGTCATGGCTCATGAGTCATGAGTTAATACTCGATTTTTGCTGAGTACTCAATTCTGAAACAACGATTCGAGAACGACCGGTATCCGGGTTCTTTTCTACTCTTCAGATTCCATTCTACTTCAATAATCCTAAAGGAGAAGTTCTTTTAGATTTGGGGTTAAAATATCCATCTTTCAATTACTCTGAGTATTTAAAATTTAACCACATTTTTCATTGGTCAAATTGGTTGCGGTTCCTGTTATTTCTTTTCAGATTTTAACCAGCAAACCAAAACAAAAAGGAATTCATTTTATTTAGTATGTATTATACATATTTTTTAAAATACAAAACAAAACAAAACACTCGTACATAAATAAACTATTTTTGTAAAAAAAAAAGTATGTATACGCCGTACATGATGAAAGGTGGTGAGTGGTGACTGGTGACCATCGTATGTGTACAGGTGCACCTAGTCAGAAACTTGAGTAGCATCTCAGACATGGTGTATTTATTTATTCGCTCCTGCTGGAAATATGCCTTGATATAAACGTATCGGTTTAATTGGCATGCGTGTTGGTTTCCCGCGTATATAAAGACAAAAGATTCGTATGCATTATACAAAACACTAGCCATCAGTACAACTCGACCTGAATTCATCCAAGCCATTATGATATCAAACGTTTCTTCCCTGTCTGCTAATCAGCTTGCCTTACTGGCAACAACTTTCAGTGCATTTTTAGTCGATGCCTGCACCGAATTTGTAGTAGGGTCTGAGGACGACACCGTTGTCGTGGGACGAACTATGGACATATTTGGCAACTTAGGTTCCAGACTGGTGACACACCCAAAAGATGCGTCGATGGGCTCGATTTTGTCCGATGGGTCCATGGGTATGGAATGGGCTGTGCGCAACCCTTTCGTTGGTATTGATGCTTTTGGTTTGCCAATTACCACCGATGGCCTTAATACATTAGGCCTGGCCTGCTCGGTTCTCATGCTTGGTGAATCAGTGTATCAAAGAATACCTGCGGAAGCCGACGCTAGAGCCCAAAGCATCAATCAATTAAACTTTTGTGACTGGGCCCTTTCCAACTTTGACAATGTTTCTCAGGTGAATCAGTCTCTTCACAATGGCGAAGTCATTGTCACACTGATTTCTGTTGCCGATTTTAAGAATTCTCTCCCTTCAGTTTCGAGAATATTAGCTGTTTCGGATGTAGTCGATATACCTTCCGACATTCCCCTCACCTCACACTACAGCTTACATGACAAGGATGGCTCATCCTTGGTCATTGAGTATACCGCCGCGGGATTCAAAACATACGATAACACAATTGGCGTTATGACGAATGATCCCACGTACGACTACCAGGAAAAGACTCTCAAGGAATACCTCTCTTTACGCAATCCCAACCCAGTACCAGTTTTCGACAGTCTTAAGCCTCGCGACCATCCCGTGGTCACAACATCTCAAGGCTTGGATGTGAATATGGCGGGCTTGCCTGGCGATCTCAGCCCGAATAGTCGTTTCCTGCGAACCGCAGTAAACCTGAACACTCTAATATATCCAACAACGGCAGAATTGGCGGTAGACGCGGCTAAGCACATTATCAATGCCATTGAGATGTTTGCTGGTTCAGTTTATCAGGACCCTATTAAATTTGGCGATACCCCTGACGAACTATGGGTCACAGAATGGGCTACCATCAGAGATATTACAAATGGAGTTTATTCATTCCGTACCTACACCAACTCCGAGTGGAAGCACATTGATCTGGACGACCTCGATTTCACTAAAGGAGCACCTTCTGTTTCTGTCGCGGTCGACATTCCCGATCAACGTTTCGATGCCGTTTCCATGATGTCGACTTAGAGACGTAATTCTAGTTGACGATTTTATCACGTTATTTCTCATATAAGTTTGTATATTACAATTGGGGCTTATTCACTCCGTACGTACACCAACTCCGAGTGGGAGCACATTTATCTGAACCAACTCGATTTCACGGAAGGAGCACCTTCTGTTTCTGTCGCGGTGGACATTCCCGATCAACGTTTCGATGTCGTTTCCATCAATTTTAGTTGATGATTTTATCATAGTTTGTTTTTCATTATTTATATATTAAAAATGCAAACCTCAGTACCCCTTTTACAACATTCAAAATGTTTATTGAGAGCACACAAGCCCCTTTGACTTTTCTTGTTGACAATGGTACGCTGATGGTCTTTTATATTTGAAAAGACACACATGGTTGAAATTTCTTATAGGACATGCATAGCCACATGGCCCTTCAAAAAGACTCCACTCAGGGAACGGAGGTGCCTAAAAGATTTTCCTTTCAATATATTTAGGAAAAGAAGTTCCGTGCTAGTCCCTATAAAATCTTCAGACGGTGTTAAAACAATTACCAGTTTGAACATCTGTAAGTTACCCCGGCTATTAAAGTACCGAGCCGATCAAGGTTCACGCGCCCCTAAGACCAAAACGTGAAAAAAGTGCAGACTCACTTATTTATACATACCACGCATATGTTCAGAATAATGCAATAGAAATAAACTCGGCCTTATATATATTACTCACAGTACTAGAATATAAAGTTCCTCCTTAGGTTCGACCTAGGAGTAGCCTATACATTACTAGCAATCTCAAGGGTAAAAGGTTTGTCTTTTGCGACTTACATTGCCAGTGTATATTGTACGGCTACTCCTAGGTCAAATATAAACGAAATTGTTGTTTTGAGTAGGTAAAAGCTGTATTGTCTACTTTGATTATCATCTGGATCTAAGCGTGAAATATATCCGAATAGTTTGGTATGAAGTCTGAACTCAGTTAACTGGCTATTGAGTATTATCATTACAGAAGGGAGCAATTGCCAGTGGTGCGTACTATTAATTATTGACACTGACTCGCGAGTACAATCGATTTCTCTATCAAGCTCCTAAAAATTTAGGAGGCTATGATTGTGCATAAAAACGTTTCTACTGGTACATGTACAGCACGTGTCAAGCCTAAAACCTACCGTGGCAGGTGTATCAGGGTCTTAATTGTAGTAGATCTTGCTTTTCATAGAAGATACAAACCAATTTTAGGTCATATGATACAAACATTAACGTTTCAAGTCCCTGAATTTATATCTGTTCTGGATTTCAGACATTGTCTCCTCAACTCCCTGAAGAAATTTTCTACTACAGTTGACATTCTCCTTCAAGTGCCTCCCATGGTTTTGCTCTACCCAATATATTGACAGGCACCAAGTTGTAGAGTTTTTAGTTGTAGTTATGGCGTACGTTGTGACAACTGGACATAGCCTGCAAACATGCAGATTCAACCCAATAATACATATACACATGCACAACTGCTTGTGCAATTTCGCATACGCATGTGTTCCGGCTAGATCGTGGTCTTACACGGGTCTCCTCCACTCTCGCAAATGTAACCAATTGCTGAATACCTCTTCCAAGCATTGATGCAGCCCAGGCAACACTTGAATCTAGTCTTGATACATAGCTACATGTGCATGTCCTTACAGAATGCTATCTAAGAGTTCTGCGAGCTCGAATCGTTCTTAATCAACGTCAGCTACACTCTGAACTTCAGATGACCGTATGAGACGCACGTGCATGTGTTAACCCAAAAGTACGTATATCCAGTCCCGTTCACTCCAGCCACTTTTGTGTAACTAATTAAGCACATCCACAGATCCGTGTTGCAGCCAAGTACGAGTTTTCAAGTGAAGAATACATCGCAGTATAAACAACGTCGATCACCCTCATAATTCGCAAAGAGGAACAGCTCCTAAAATAGTAGAGCCCAACACCTTCCTATCCTCGCAACATAATGAGGATCTGAATTTGCAATACCATAACAATGGTGGCATATATGTGTATACACATACATATGCGTGTATGCATATGTGCGGCCTTGGTTGTCGGTATGCAGACACGGTGCCCTATACTAGATCAGCTGACTATGTGTCCTCACATGCGGCAGTTCTGAATCTCCAACACCATGATGTTAGTGGCGCCGATGTTTTCCAATCGATCCATGATGTCGTTAACTCTGCGAGGGTGTGCATTAAAAGAACATACGCTTGAGCTTAAATTGAAGGCTTCGAAATGTGACGATTAGTCTGGCATTGTGGTATCGACTTCCGATAGCGACGAATCTGTATCTAATTTATACTACCACGGATTCAAAAAAAAATACCTGAATATTTCCTATCTAAAGTTTGGGGGGATACCCACCAACTTACCATCATTTTCAAGCACTAGGACACACATGGCATTCATAGTTGCTCGATCCCTACAAACACTTATAGACGAGTCGTGATATAAGCACTTTAGGCACACATACACGCAGATGCACACACACACGTTTTGCCCCAGAAGTTAGGTCCCCACATGTAAAGTGTACATACTCGGGTTTCTTGATCATGACCTTGACCGCCAGCCAGTTCTCATCCGACAAGTGTGCCACCGTGGGCGATGTCATACCGGGTGTGATCTTACAGGCCTGTGTGCATAAAAATAACATGTTAGTGTTTGCGTGCATATACTTTAGCCTTGTCATGCGCAAATTTAGAGGTAAAAATATTGAAGGGGATAAACAAATGTAGATCCACATTGATCTTGCTATGTGAACGCTAGTGAGTGTACTTGTGCGTACATACTGGAGCTGTGTTTGAATGCACGCGGTGGTGAGTGAAGGGATTCATACATGAGTCTAGATTCTATATGATCCCACACAACATTACTGACGTTCGCCTATAGGCATGAATAGACGTGATTGTATTTCGCTAGGATCTATAAGCCGGCAGATACTCGGAACACACGCGCGCTTGCAAATTGACGGGACTAGTACACGACCCTACTGAACCAATTTTTTTTTTAGACTGTGGCTATATATAGGACACTATACAGGTTCGTGGCAAAGGTCATGACATTGATGCAAACACTAACCGCGCTGGCCTAAGCCTCTGCGTCTACATTAACTTACATCCCAAACATAGTCGCGAAGATCAAACAAGCAAGAGTATACTAAGGTTACACACCTCTGCTAACTTGTCCGCGGGAATGTTGTACTCCATTGAACTGTAGAGACCAGCCGTGATAACTCCCTTGATGCGTGTCTGCAGAATGTCAATCAGATCCTGGGTGGAGAGTAGTACGATGGAGAAAGATTAGGCACAAGTGATCTTCCCAACTATCGTTTGGAAGGTGGTCGATGTTGTACATAGCTAGGCGTGTATGTGGAGGTACACTTATACGCATGGTGGAGATACCTCCTGCCGCAAAGATGATCAAGAACAAAATGTCCCGAAGCAACAGACATTGGTCTGTATATGTAACGTTACCCATTTGTCGGCGGAATAAATAGCTAGCCTCGAGGCTCCGAGGAGACTACAAATACACATGGTTAACAACTACCAGCCGGTGGCCAAAACTGCAACCCATTGGATATCTATCAGAATCATACATAAGACTAAATCTGAAAACATGTATACATTTCGTAGATTAAGACAATAAATGCACACATATATACGTGTAGATCTAGATCTAGATACTAGCATACCTAGGCACTGTATATCGATATATATACATATATAGTTCAATTGAACACTTGGTTGTACCTGGTGTGTGGTGTGCTTGTTTCCGATGAGAACAGTTTGTGTGTCCATAATCAACGAGATAATCTCCAGCCCAGCGGCGCGCATGGTCTCACCAGTTTCCACCAGATCGACTGGAGGTAGATAGACATGACACTGTTTAATTATAGATTGCTGCTGCGTTTACGGCCCACCAATTAGTGAGCAATGTACTCTAGCAACTACAGTGAAAATTCGATGTTCACATACATATGCGGACAGTCAGACTCCGGTAGATGTGATACCGCTTTGGCGAAATTTTCTAAAATGTACGATCACAAATGCATGCGTATCTGTACATACTTGCCCATGACGAACAACTCGACTACACATATGAAGAATAAGTAGCAAGTGGTAATGCAGCAGGTGATGTATTCGTACAAAATAGAGTTGTATATCATTATAAGCAGATATACACAACATATATATAAATATATACATATATCAGCATATGAAAGTACATACGCTTCATACCAAACACCCTACATAACAATACATCTGTATAAACATGTCCATTTGCATATACCACGCACGACCCGATCCTACCAATGCCATCCGCCAAGCCGAGCGCACAAGCGGCTTCCACCGACCCAGAGACGTGGCTCACTTTTGTAGTCAGCTCTCCTCCTTCTAAGTCTCGGAAGTACTTCTCAGCCAGATTAGTGAAAGATGTCACGATGCGTTTGCCACTCAGGTCCTGCAATGGCACCAAGAATAGGACAGTTCGGTAAATGAGAATGTAGGGTAGGTGCTCAGGACATCGCATGGTAGTATGCGGCTCTTATGGGAGGTGCCTGGAGTTAAACCAGAAAGACCACTCACTTGCCTCTCGTCATACGCGTTACCTGTGCACAAAGTTGACGCTTACTAAACCTCAGGCGGGACAAGATATTCGATGTCAGCAGAAGACTCGTCCAGCGACAATATCAACACAATTACACGCAGATACAGGCTCAAACTGAACTTGTATGTACTAGCAGCATGACTATCTTTACAACATAATATAAAAGAGGCGTACCTTGACATCCTTGATCTTGCTACTGACGGGTGCCTGTACACAGAGTTGACACTTGCCGAATCCTAGGTGGGCCAAGATGTTGACGTCAGCAGACGACTCTTCGACAATATCCATGCCTGTGATTCCGATGTCGACACTGGGTGTGGAGAGGGTATTGATGGTGGTTTAATGTGAATGATGATTCAACTGGTAAGCCTAGTTATAAATATTGTTATTCAGAACAAAAGTACGAAGTGTCCGAAAGTGTAAGAAAAGTCAATGGCACCGGTAGCAGAGTTTTCGACAGTACACGTGCCTGTGATGCCCATATCGATGCTTGGTGTCTGGAGAGTAGTTTGTAAATGAGTGTTGATTGTCAATGAATTTGTTAAACTTGAGTTGTACTACGTAGAGGCTTGCAAGCTACGCCTATTTACCTTTGGAAATAAGTAACTTTTCAGGCGCTACTGGTGAGATGGAATCCAATTGCATGTGTATGATTCTAGAGAAACTTTATTTTTACGAAATCACAACATCTCCGTAGTTCCGACATATTTTGTGATAACGAGTTCGTCCATGCCTAGTTTAAAAATATAGAGCCCGCCGTGTATACAGGTATATGGTATTGTCGTATATCAGATAAACTACAGTAATTGAGCGACATTTGTTTGTGCTAATACGTACGTGTACGTCTATTTGATTAAACACAAACATAAACATGGAACATATATAAACTTTAACAGATATATAACTATTTATTGATTATATATTTATATATATATATATATACATACATATATATATATGCATATATAAATAATACACACGTACACACACACACACATATATATATATATATATATATATAATACATATCTGTATATATATATATATATATATATATATATATATATATATATATATATTCATATATTCATATACATAGGTACACTACACATTGTTGTTTCCCTGGAAATTCGATAAACATAAGAAGTTTTATATGCATCCTACTGCATAATCGATCGGTATCGACGAATCATTCATGTGTATGGGCAAAAGCTGACCGCCATACTTCTGTGAGTGTTTTGTTGAATAACATGTATCTATATAGAGTGGAGCGCGAGGCAAATGGTACGCACCCGACATTTAGTTCTCAGTACATTTTTCAACAGAATACGATCCTTACACGCACAGCATATATACATACCAAATGACGCAACAACAGTATGCACGGGTATCTATTGTAAAACACCCAGTCTGTCAAAAATTGTTGTTGCAGATACTTAACATCCCTCTCGGTATTTCTGAATTTACTTTGTCATACACAGTTAATGCACCATGTATACAGCTAGGAAATAACAAGACGAGAAGATATTTAGGTTGAATTTTGAGACTTAGCCTCCGATAAATACGGCCAGTGTGAACTCTTTATCAACGTGTGCTACTACAATTATATATGTGAAAACGGTACTGTTCATTTACAACAAATCTTGTCTCACACTTCGACTTACTTGCCCTTGTCCACGTATTTAGCGATGTCAGAAGCTGGCAGAAACACTAGAGCAAGAGGCATGTTTGTTGAGAGAGCTACATCTAATCTGTGACCTCGTCTGTATTTAATGCCGATTTCTTTCATGAGCAAGGCACATCGTTCGTAAATGCGGCCTTTTTTTTGGCACACCAAATAGCAATCTACCTTCCAGTTCTGAGTTATCCATAGTGAGCTTTGCAAGGTAGTGTTTATTAGCAACTGTCTAGGTATATCTCTGTACGTTGTGGAACTTGTATCAAAAGGTCTGTTATACTTATTTAACTGTTTGTGTTCACCTGTGCATGCCTTTGTGTGATTATTTCGCGTGTTTTTCACGTGACACTTTGATTGTCTGACGTCGATTCCAAGAAATATAATAGTCAAAGCCCCCTATAAAAAGATGAGCTAATGTGGTCGTTAAACGTATTTCTTTTTTTACAAGTGGAAGAGAACAAGTCTAACCTACAAAACAATCAATTAGACTATTTTAGAAGGAATAGTTGTTTTATATTGCACCTAAAAATATATATATTGCCCCCATATGGAGTATGCAGGACCAATTCAAGCGGTAGATGTTGAACGTGATCGTAAGAAGAGAGATATTATACGTTTTAACGTAAAACTTAAATTACAGCCAATCACAGCCTTCGTACAATACATCGTAGCCAACACTTGTTTTCAGTTGGCTACTTCAATATTTACATACAATCTGTCAAAGTGTCAATCTCAGCTCTGCTAGGAGTCAGGCCGTCAGCAGGAGGCCCAAAAAGTAAAAAGTAAAAACACTTGCTGGGTGGCTATAGCTATACATATACATATACATACTTACATACATACATACATATTTACATACATACATACATACATACTTACACATATATATATATACAATATATATATATATTATATATACGTGTATCTACATACATATACATATACATATACATATACATATACTTATACAAATACATATACATATATATACATATACATATACATATACATATACATATACATATACTTACATATACATATACATGTATATATGTACATATACATATACATATTCATATACATATTATTATTTTTTATAGATATACATGTACATATACTTATACTTATACATATACATATACAATGTATATATGTACATATGAATATGTATACATATATAGTAAATGTATG